ATTTCCTTTGTCATTTCCGATCACGTCATAAGCTGCATGGCTCTTCGTAGCACCGCGATCACGTATTCTCCCCCATCCGCCTTCACTTTCAAACCCATTCGCGAACGTTTAACCCATTCGCATCCAGAAACTTTTCGGTCTGTCTAGCCTAGAATGCTGCTGCCTTAGCCTGACGTGAGAGGCTTACAAGCCTGTCTTTCTAGGCCATAGGAAAGGCGGAAGGACATGGGACGATGCATACTAGTATGCATGTGGATGCGAATGGGTTAATAGGTTACTTTCGTGGAAACTTGTAATTCAGCCCTGTGCTGTATCGTTACCTTGTTACTCGATGTCTGATCTAGTAGAGACTGCGAAATTCCCGTCAAACTGCCGGTTCCACGTTTTTGTTGGTTGAGTAAGAGTAATGTACTTTCGTGTTAAAACCAAGGACATGAACGGTAAAGTAATTGACGCAAGAAACCTGTATTAACCTGTATTAACTTCATTCAGTGACCATTTCGTACCAACACCTGTTTCGATCACAAAGGAAGCATCGATCTGTGGTAGACCTATGGAATTCTTGTATCTCTCATACCGTAACTTTCATGCGCCCTTCTTGCAGCTTCACACGACACGATTTTATCATTTGGTTTGGAATGGTCTTTCGTACTAGATAAATACATCTGTACGTAGTTTGGTTGGTGTCGTTGAAGATTCTGCTAGTAGAAAAAAAAATTCCTTGCGGGTTGTCGTCTTCATTTCTTAGGAGGTAGGCAACCGTGAACACAACGTTCATGATGTTACAAATGAGGTGACTTGCATACATAGGAAGAACAATATCTTTGATCCCCAAAAGAGATTCTTTCTCCTTTATCTCGCAAGATCGATGTCAAGGGGACTTGGACGAAACCTTTCTCTCTGCATACAGCATGAATATTTTCGTAAAGTCTTCATTAACGGATGCAGCAGACCTGAACGGGAAATAGTTCATTCTTTTCTCATTTGCCATCGCCAATATCGTCTTATTTCCACAACTTATTACCACAGCTTATTAAGAACAGATACCAACTGATGTCGATATCTGTTCCGTCACGTAGCGTGCATTCGATCCCGTTACCTTGATCCCCTGAGGCTGGGGAAATGGCTGGAAGCACCTTTCCGGTCGTGACCGTGGCCTTTTCTCTATGGGCGTTCATGCAAAGTAAAGAAAGACCTCGTTCTCCTTTGTGTGTGTGCGCGTAATGCAGATTTAAACTCCCTTTCAAGGTCTGGGCGGACAGGACTTGGCACTTGGAAGGAACCCCTCCCTTCCCTTTCCTTCCTTCGGATTTTGATCTTAGTTCGGGTGAGAAAAAGATGTGACGGTTCTTGTGGTTTAACAATCCGCAGAACCAGTTGTAATTATATATTCCTTTTTTTTATCTCAGAAACGTTGTGGTAGCACTGGTCACTGCACTCCTTCTGGAGTATGTCTCTTGAGATCTAGTTAGCATGTAATGCCCCGCACAGCACTGTATATTGCGCAAATCCTTGTCTCTGCTCACTCGCTAGCTTGCTTGCTTACGGTCGATCGTCGCGACTTGACTAGCATTGCGCCATGCCCCCGTAGTTGTCGTTCTCTACTCTCATCTGGGGACCCCAATGTGAATAACATTAATAGGAGGGGCCGAATGGAGTTTCTAATAGATTTACGAGATCGCTTCGTACCAGGATTCGCGTCTCGTGCAATCCTGTTCCTAACGTAAGTCAGGAACAGGATTGCACGAGACATCTTGGACATATATTATGCCATTTATGCGCGGCACATGAAGGCATGATGCACTGTTCATGTCAGATGGATATCCTGGTCATCCCCTCTGTGCGAGACAAAAAAAGGAAAGTACTGAATCACTCGTACTGCATGCTGAATATTGCCGACGTCGGAAGTTCCGTTTTCCTTTCGAACAGAGGTTGAAGAAGCGAAAGCCCTATCACGAGGCTTCTTGCCTAGAAAGAGTCTTCGTCAGGTGTGATTCAAAATACAGTTTTTGCAGGGTGCCAAAGAATTTGAGAATTTGAGAAAAACTCCTCATCTTATAATATGGACAAAGAAACATGAGAAACCCTACCACAGGCAGAACCATAAACAGACCTATGGCCATGGCTATGGAGCCTATTTCCGCTCATCCCCCTAGGTGAATAGATGATTTAAAAAAATCTATCCTTCCTTGCCTATGGCACAAGAGATCAAAGTATCTTTTTAGAAGGAATAGTAAGGGGTGGTGCTGAAACCTGTCTCCTGAAGCTACAGGAAGGCGTGAATGTTCACTCATATGCACCTCGCTGGTCCCTTTAAGGCTTACACAATAGCGTACCTGTCCAAGTGCAAAAACGAACTTTAACTAACGGAATTCATGTCGTGTCATTCAAAGCCGCCAGAAATGCCGATGTAGACTGCACAATTAGCTCAGCAGGGAATCAACTAGGCAGGAAGTGCTGTCTCTCGATCATAGAGTAATCTGTCCGGGAATATGCAGGAAAGTAGTTTAGAAGCATAGCTCGAAGGCTTTTTATTCCCGCGTCTCTTCGTCTCAGCTACTCCGTAGTTTGGATGAGGTGTACTCACGTCGGACCGCTCGTAAAACTGGGTACCACCATTTCATAAAAGTAGTACCTAGGGAGACGCAATGCAGCCTCCCATGAAGCCTGGGACCCGTCCGTTTTCATAAAACGATGCTTAGTTTTCCTTTTTCCCAACATGCGTTGTGGGCTCTTTCGATATTTTCCACTTCTCATTGCCCGTGTTCTGAGGCACTTATGTTGAAGCTATTCTCTGACCGGGGTTTCTCATACGGCAAGTGATGAGAGTTGGTCATTCTGGGTGCGCCTGCGTCCCAGCAGGATTGTGTCCCTCAAAGAATCGCATATTGCATAGGTGCGCACGGAAATATTGCGAAACAAGTGACTGCCAAGAGAGGCGATCTATCCTTTAGCTCGCTTCATTTGTTCGTCTATGGGGAGGCTTTTGAACGACAGCTCGATTCAATCCATGATACTAAAACTTCATTATGTACCGAGGTGGAGCTTCACCCGTGTGATGTAAGTTTATGTGGCAACGCTGACACATTGTGGTGGGAACGCAGTCATTATCCCAATTGTGGATATGTGACGAGGGGGTCATTATAGCTGAGATATTGAGGTCGAGAGTTATTCATTCGTCATGTTACGCCGACGCGGGGCCTCTTTCTCTCGTCTGAGTTTGTTTACTCACATTGATGTCATTCGTGATGCTTGTGCCTGCTGACCATGGAGTCGCCGAAGTCGTTTCCGAATTGTTAAAGAAGTCGTTGTGCGTTGACGTCATTCTGCCCAAACATTTGATGGCCGGAAACAGTGCACGTGAATGGATTCAGACCTATAGTCCGTGAATTAATTTCACTTGGTCGTTGTGGTGATGAAATCGTTCTATCGCCTCCGAACTGGAACGTTTCCTCGCGTAGGAGTCATGAGAGTACCGCATTGGAACGTGCGCTGTCGGTAGAGGAAAGGAACTTGTTTCGCATTGTTGTGATGTTTGCATGATAATGCTGTAAAATCTGTAATGAATGTTTTTAATGGCGATGTAAAAGTCGAGGACTGGGCAGCCACAACCGGTTTGACGAGATTAGTAAGAGGGTGGGAGGTAAAGGTGACTGGCCAACGGGTCAGGCCGTCATACTCATTGCCAAAAATTTAGCAGCTTCCAGAATTTGAGTTCTATAGATGAAATGCATGGACCCGTAGTGGTGGGTAATTTTGATTGAAATTTATTAGAATTTCAAGGCTGTAGAAGGACTCAAGAGGTAAGTCTCGCCAAACGTCAAAGTGAAATGGGGAGGTCCGCTCAAGAAATTCGTCTTTTCGTCATCACTCGCGTCAGTTTGTCTTTAACCTTTTCCATTTCTTAGTCATGTATTCACATGTGATGCAAAAAAAAAGCGTAAAAATATAAATACTTCGGATGAAAATATAAATTTTTAATGTTTCTTACACCAACTAGAACTCATGAGTAAAAATAACTTTGTGTAATGTGGTTGTAACAAAATGAACAACGTAGTGTGCATTACCCGCTATTTTGATTACATTTAAATTGGGGCTGGCGGCGCATCACGTTGCAGCAATGCTGAGTCAACGTCATCTAAGGCAGTTTCGCTCGCTAGATCCGATTGACCGAGGTTGATAAGTTAAAAGGAATGCATTTCTCCATGGGGAGAACATACAGGCTATTGAGTGGTAAGTGTCGAGCCCAGTGGCAGTGGAAGTGATGGTGGTATTAATGCATAGCATTTTTAACTAGCCTTTGTCAAACTGATAAAGTTGGCGAAACCACCTTTGACAACTTTGCCTCGGGATTACTTCGCAGCCAGTCAATGAACGATGCGCAAGTTAACTTACCCGAGTGATCGCAAAAAGTCAATTGAGATTAGTGCCCCTGCCCCCAGGCGTTTGGCGAGTTTTGTCAGTAAAGTCATCGCATTGACCATAAAACTATAATCGATGTAATGACACACAACTCCACCCACATCAAATTTCCAGCATTTCTCACCACCTTCATGGTATTTACTTTTTATTGGCAATGAGTATATTTTCACGACGTGTTTTGCCATTGTGCTTCTTCCTTATCACGAATGTCAGTTTTTCCTCTCATACAAATGGGCTTTAGTGAATCGGTCATTTTCACTAGTCGTGCCAGGCCGAAAGTCATTGTCATGAGTGTGAGACTTTCCTGAACCCTTGGCTGCACTCTTTTTTGGTGACGATGATTTTTAAAATCATAATTTGTAAACTGGACAATGCGTGAAAGGTAGTTGAATTAAACCATCGTTGAAATGTCACGAAGGAGACCACGTGTAAGAACGAAATATCTGTTGTAACTCTCGACGCACTTGGCATCGAAGGATTGTTTGGACAAGTGAATGTAAATCGAGATTCGTGCCTTCGAAACGCGTTGGCAATTTAGATTTGATTAAAACAGATTCAGGATGCGGTTGTGGACTCACCTTTCACTGGTTTCAGAAGTGTCCCTGGGAACTCTTAGGGTGTCTTGATTCTGTCTCGTGTTGTGGGTCTGGACCCAGACTCCAAAAGCGGGAGCCGCCAGCATCATAAACACGATGCCGAGTCGGACACAAAGCCCTGACAAAGTCCGACACGCCACTGGTAACATGGTTTCTTACACGCTCAAGTTTGATGACGCCTTTTTGGGAGTCAGCCGGGTTGAAAATGAATGGGGAAGGGGGAACCCCATAGCATTGGAAGGCACATCTCTTGCTCACATTTTCGTCAGTGTCACTTGGAATCACCTTCCAGGGCACATCGATGTGGGTTTCTTTCTGTCTATGCACGAACTGCCCACGCTATTCTCCACTCTTCTCAAAATTTCTGTGGGATTATTTCTGAAATCTGAAACACAGACAATTCTAATAGCTGTGATGTCAAGCTATGATAGCATCTTAACAGGCGTTATTCTACTGCCGCCCAGAGGCCACCGTGACTTCAACGCTCGTATGCTCGCTATGGAAATACACCATTAAAAAAAAGTGAGCTTTCGAGCTCCATCAATCAGGATGGACCTATCCGTGTTTCCTTCATCGCCCTGCCGAGACTCCTGCAAGAGTGGTCGTGCATTGTATATTGAATTGATAATGGAGAGCTTTCAAACGAAATTAAATGCGTCGTGATAGCGGCACGGAATTTCGAACAATGAAAGGGAGAAGAAAGGACTAGACGATCGAGAGGCGTTCAGCTTTTTCCTTTGGAATGTGGTATGATCACCGCTATATTCTTAGTTTCAGGCGACTTCCATGATTTCCTTGACTTGATTATGTCATTAAAAAAAAAACTTGGATTAAAAAGAAACCGGAATTCATAGTGGAAGTTTCAAATTATAGAACGCTGTAACATAAGAATAACAAGACACAACGCTGTAACAGGAGAAACTCCCGTAATAAGGCTCTCCAGACTTGAACTCATGGGAATCGATTGATTTAAGCAATTGATATAAAATTATTGATTAACTCGGGAAGGACTGTTCAAACTCTGATTCACCCAAAGTGAACTGCGTAAATGCGCAATGTCTTCGGAGTTCCTGGTCTTCGGCGACAAGAAAGCACAGAGCACAAGAGGCACGGAAGGTGAGGAAGTTGACACAAATCGTCACAAGTGGAAGAGAAAGAGAGCCACTGCGGCTGAGATGGGTGTGAGTGAGAGTGACCGACCGGCAGAGAGTCGGAGACTGGCGAGTCTGAGAGCGCGCCACTCACTTTCACTACAGTCGCACGTTGGAGAGTTCTTGCACGCTTCTGTGAGAGAGAAGTGCGGAAAGGGAAGGATGAAGGATCGGCAAGGGTCATTTCGCTTACCCTTCAAGGTCTCTATTTCTACTTCCTTCCCCCAGCTTTTTGCTTTCCCTTCCCACTTCCGGTGTCATCTCACTTCCGTCAATTCGCTACGTGTCATGGTCGCAGCTCTTTATTCGCAAGTTAGTCGTGAAATCATCTTGGGAGTGACGGAGCAAGAGGTGACCGACGAGGTTTTCTTTTTTCTGGATATTCTTCAATGCCCCTTCTCTACGTCAAAATGGCAGTGTACCATTCTTCCCCATCTTCTTTGGCAGACATTCTAATGACCTATCCATATCATACCTTAGCCTTGATGCTTTTCCATTGTCTTGTAGATTCATGTGTTACATGAATAAACTTCCAATAAACTTCAGCAACACAAATCAAAGGCGTTGCCTGAATGTGAAAAGATAGTTTTTATTTTCCCCTTATGAGATACGCGATACACATCCTGTAATTTTTCTAATTGCGGTCAGATTGACTCTGGAAGGCCTAAGCGTGTTTATGACGGTATTTCGCTTCCACCTGAACTGGTGATCAGTGATTTTTATGGATGGATGGGAAGAAATTCCTGTCGTCGGCTCTCTAGGGAAGGAAGATATTTACGCATCTTACCGTTCGGTCTCCATCCCCCCTCCCGGCACCAAAAATTCCTATGAAATGCATGCTTTCAGACAGGCCATGGAAAACACTGATTTGTACCTCATCATACGTCGAAAAGGAAAGGACCCTTAGGTAAGGGAGAATAATGGATACACCCTGTGGCTAAAGGAGCCCTTCTTCCTGGTATCTGGGAATGATCTACTACCCTGATAATAAAAAAAGAGGTGGTTCCCGCCTGGTTCTCTCCAATTTTCCCTTCGTTCGTGAGAAAACGGTCATTTTTTTCTCGATTCCGAAAGCACATGTGACGGATTGCCTGGCGAAATACTCTCATTCTTCCTGGTTTGGACTGCACGCTTTAAGTAGGTCATTTCATATAGAGTGGTTNCATCTTGGGAGTGACGGAGCAAGAGGTGACCGACGAGGTTTTCTTTTTTCTGGATATTCTTCAATGCCCCTTCTCTACGTCAAAATGGCAGTGTACCATTCTTCCCCATCTTCTTTGGCAGACATTCTAATGACCTATCCATATCATACCTTAGCCTTGATGCTTTTCCATTGTCTTGTAGATTCATGTGTTACATGAATAAACTTCCAATAAACTTCAGCAACACAAATCAAAGGCGTTGCCTGAATGTGAAAAGATAGTTTTTATTTTCCCCTTATGAGATACGCGATACACATCCTGTAATTTTTCTAATTGCGGTCAGATTGACTCTGGAAGGCCTAAGCGTGTTTATGACGGTATTTCGCTTCCACCTGAACTGGTGATCAGTGATTTTTATGGATGGATGGGAAGAAATTCCTGTCGTCGGCTCTCTAGGGAAGGAAGGTATTTACGCATTTTATCGTTCGGTCTCCATCCCCCCTCCCGGCACCAAAAATTCCTATGAAATGCATGCTTTCAGACAGGCCATGGAAAACACTGATTTGTACCTCATCATACGTCGAAAAGGAAAGGACCCTTAGGAAAGGGAGAATAATGGATACACCCTGTGGCTAAAGGAGCCCTTCTTCCTGGTATCTGGGAATGATCTACTACCCTGATAATAAAAAAAGAGGTGGTTCCCGCCTGGTTCTCTCCAATTTTCCCTTCATTCGTGAGAAAACGGTCATTTTTTTCTCGATTCCGAAAGCACATGTGACGGATTGCCTGGCGAAATACTCTCATTCTTCCTGGTTTGGACTGCACGCTTTAAGTAGGTCATTTCATATAGAGTGGTTGGGTTTCAATTCACGTGCGTCTCGTAGCACAAGAATTCATTGCACTCGAACATGAATTGCCTGAATGTGGTCAGACCTGGGGAAGGGAATAATTCGTACCAGCACAGCCAGTGGGAAAACGAGGCTGTGTTGATGGCTCAGAATGGCTTGGTCATTCCGTTTCTTGGCTATCTCTCAGCCCCCCCCCCCCCGGAGTCATTCTTGGACAAATGCCTGTCCTAAGACCATGCCGAATTTGGAGCGAAACCGCATCTGAAAGCAAGGGAATTTCATTGTTATCTGACGGAGGGTTTTCTTTCATGCCGATTGCATCGAATCTCTACCATACTCAGCTTCTCGTACGAGTACCGTCATCGCCATCATTTATCTCGATCATATTCCAAGGAAAATCCTCTCTGATTTCGCACATATTTCTTCCATAGTGAGAGAGAGAGAGAGAACAGAGGCGAAGCTTTCGCATATTACTCATGTTAGTCTTAATTGAGTGGATTAAGAGCTCACCAGCAACACCCTCATGCACAAAGGGAAATGCGGCGAAAGAATTAGGTTATTGCGCGACGGACTTGATCATTGCTCTAAGTTTTGTCATTCCCTGTCACCATCTCGAGTCGGAGTGAACACTCAATATAGGTCGACCAGAAATGGCCCTCTCCATTTCGCCTTGAATGGCGGTAAGTCAATGATTGGCCTTGGTGGGATCGTAGTAATTCCGTGAAATGAGACAGCATTGTCCTTCCTACTCTCACGCAAATTAAGTCGTGAACCATTTCGGTGTGACATTTCCTCTGTCCACATTGTAGCTTTTGCCTTGATCCTTCCGAGCGTGGGAGGCTTCCTGAACATAACCGACACCGTGTTTACTCCCACTTCCGACAGTCATGTTGGAAGCTGGCTTGTCCGATTTGATCACATCAGAGGAATTCAAGGAGTCAGGTTCACATCAGAGGAATTCATCAAAAGGAGTTCAAGCCTCCTTTTTTAAGGGGTTTCCTTGTCACAAATTCCTAAACCTGGCTTCTATTTACGTGTCTCAGGTTCTACCGCACACCTGCAACTTGCCTTCATATTTTGAATTGCAATCGTTGTCCGTGATAGTGCTTTTCCTAAAAGGGGGAACATTTTTTGTCTAAATAGGGGAGCACTATTGATACAGGGCCTCGATGAAGATACTTCATTGAGAAATATGTGGTGTGACAATGACGCTTTGTACGTGTGTGGTCGCTAGCTGACAGTAAACGATGAGGTTTTAAAAATATCCTTGAACTAGATGTGGACTGTATGAAGGGTTTCCTTGCAGCTGATGAGTGTCGATTGTGCGCTATCCTGGGGACGAGATCGATCCCTCGATAAGTGGCTTGCGCAAAGGATGAGTTCGTTGAGCAGTCTCGAAGGAGTTTCAAGCGACGGAGTTTCGAGAGTTTGCTAAGACGCAGAGGCAAGCAAATAAGTGGTCGTCCCCCTACAACCTATTCTGCTGATTCTAGGCCCTTTTTTTCGGGCGCTTGCTGTTTGTGAATACATCTGGGGATGAAGAGGACCCTGCTGAGTCTCCAGCTCACGACCAATTGCTGATAATGATGAAACTTCTCATGCGTCATGTTGGGACCATGTCGTGCCTCATTACCGCACGAGTCTCCCCACGATCTTCGGCGTAACAAATGACTTTCCTCTTCAGCACTGACCTCTCTTTTTCTTTGCTTCCTCAAATGATATTTCAGAAATATGAATCCTTTTGTCTTTTTGTTCACGTCTCCCGTGCCCACACACAACGCACGTTCCAGTGCTGATAATTTACGGTGCGGCATGAAATGGTTCATCCATCTCCACATTGGAATTTTTTACGAGGCAAGTGCTCTGAATTTAATCTGATTTATTGTGCCGTTCGAGTAGAAGGCACAGCTGCACGATTGGTATTCTCCATATAATGAGGCTTCTGAGTTCGAGAGATACCTCGATCAGATCGCAGGTCACATGGCAATTAATTTCCTCATCTTTTAGTGACGCAGGGCACTGATCACGATCTCATCGTCGCGTATGCCAAATTGTTGCGGGAATCTCGTTTGACTTTGCACCATCACTTTTTTGTGATTTTATAGCGGAAAGAAGAGATGTTGATCGGATTTAATGAAAATGACAGGGAAAAGTAATTTAGGTTATTCCTTTACCATTTTCATCAAAAATATTAGTTTTATTACGATGTACATGAAATACATGAAGATACAGATTACACAAGATTACTTT